CAGATGATTACAAATAATATACTAATGTAGTATTTGAATATAGTGACCACATGTATGACAAAAATCAGCGATATATATTTCTGATTTCGACCAAAACTGCCAACAAACACAATGTGATTTGCTAGTATTTAAATAAGAAAAAAAAAATGTTTTTACATATTTCTCACATTCTGAGAAAAGTGCTGATGCACGACAAATCAAGTTACTTCTTTGATGGTGAAAACCGTCGGTTTAATTATGTAACTGACGTTGAAAAGAACATATAACCAGCTTTCAAATAAGAAATTTCTTGCCATATGATATAAGTTAAAATTATCGTACCAAATGGCCACCGTTCGCCATTTTATTGATGAAGTTACTAAAACGTTATAAAATCATCAACAACTACTGCCTGGCCAAATCCACTTTCTCTCTGACTTTAAAGCGCGCAGTGGTTTTTGATGGCTAGGGAAGGGAAACGCTCTTTTCTCTCATCGGAGACACAATCGTTTCTGTCATTGTTGCCATGCTCTTTCTTTGCGCATATTCCGGCTAGAACTGGGCCATTGGTCCTTAAGTCCATCAACCCAGAAATTTATTAAAAATATATTTTGGGCACATTTATAGACACACTATATTGTTTTGTACAAAAAGTAATGTAATTTATTAAAAACAAAAAAAAATGAGAATACATCCATAAAAAGTCCCTCTGCGATATTTTGGCTTATTACTCCAGTTATGCTTAATAGAAATTATAATTTATAAATACATTTGCTGTATGGTGACTTACAACTTGATTGATTCGACAACCATTTGTAAAATTGTGTAATGTACAATTAAATATCAAAATAATAGCAAATTACATTACTTTTTTTAGACACTGTATATATTATTGATTTTATCGATTAAAAAATATCATGTTTTGATATAAACATGAAACCCACATCTGAAGAAAATAAAACCCATATTCATAAAATATAACAAGGCAAATAAACATAGAAAAACTAAGTGCTTAGGTACCCAGTATTTAAACTATTGGGAACACGACTAAATATTAAAATAAAGGGCTAAGATTCATAGTACCTTATATAATTAAATAATGTTTTAATATATTTTTGTAAAATATTTTAAACAAGTCTTATAAGTATGCAAACTTTTGGAGAACTTCTATCTTGTAGAAGGTGGTAATCAAAAGATGTGTTACAAAAATTGGCGGCCAATTTATATATGTATCTATATATATCTTATTTTCCTACAAAAACCGTTTCACGTCGCACAGTATAACGCATTATTCACGGCGTATACATATATAGGGTTGGAAGTGCAAGAAAGTCTTGTGGTCTTAAGACAGATCATATATAAGCGACTGGTGTTTTATACCCAGACCTCTACCTACCGGTAGCACTATACTATCAGATATCTGCCTACTGACTGAACTACACCTGCTCTGGTATGAGTTCCTTCGTAAACGAGCATAAGATTCAATTTAATTTGGAATTACTTTTATTTATTTTGACTTACAATTCATATTCTCAATAAAATAAAATTTATAGAAAAAAGTTTCGTACTCAATAACAAAACAAAAAACAATAATTAAAACATAAAATTAATACATCAAAACAATCAATAATTTTCATTAAATAGCGTTAAACAATAGCATTAAATCCTGTAGTCGCAACTATCCGATTAGAACTTAAAAGAGTAGACAAGGCTAAACCCAGTCAGAGAATAGCATGGAGTAGTGCTGACCAACGACAACAACAGAAGTATGAAGATCTGGTAGACACGCAGAGTCTAAGACAATAGCTCCCACTAAGGAGAAGACAATAAAAGAAAACATTGAAGACATGTGGGGGAAAACTAAAAATACTGTCTGGAGGCAGCAGACCAAAGTATACAGAAAGAAAACTGTAAACACAGAAAGCCATGGATGAAAAACGAAATATTACAAATTGTGGAGAGGAGACGGATGGTAAAAAACAAAAACCTAACAAGATACAAAGAACTCAACAGGGGAATTGAAAAAAAAAATAAATGTAGCTAAGGAAGAATGGATGAAAGAAAAATGTTAAGAGGTAGAAGATTTGCAAATGAAGCTACACAGAAAGGTTAAATAAGCAGCTGGAATATAGAAACATAAAGAAATATCTTAATTATTAGAATACATCTAGAATATAAGTGAGCAATATCTTAAAGATTTGTTTGGTGATCAGAGAACAGAAGAGCCCCCGCAAATAGATACAGATGGAAAATTAATCATTCTCACCGACGAAGTTTTGCAGGTAATAAAAGACGCAAAGAACAAGACACCCGGCGAAGTCCTAATAACAGCCGAACATTTTAAACACCTAAGTGATAATGTTGTCAGGAAATTAACATACCTCTGCAATATTATATATAAACATGGCACAATACCGCATGACTGGCTAACATCCACATATATAGCTCTTCCTAAAAAACAAAAAGCAAGGAAATGTAAAGACCATCGAACTGTATCATTAATGAGTCATGCCACCAAGATTTTTATGCGATTAATTTATAACCAAATTCACAAGAAGTATAAAGAATACCTAACTCGTTCTCAATATGGGTTTAGAAAGGCTACAGGCACTAGAGAAGAAATTATGGGATCGAAACTGTTGGCAGAAAGGTATCTTGAGGTACAAAAACGGCTGTATGCCTGCTTTGTCGATTATAGAAAGGCCTTCGACCGCACCAAACACGGAAAATTAATTAAGGTGCTAAAAAAAGAAGTAAGGTTGGACGGACACGACATAGCTATCATAAGTAATACATACTGGAACCACACATGATGCGTTCGAACAGAGAACGGAAACACTAAGTACATCAACATAGAACGAGTAGTGCGTCAAGGGTGCATTTTGTCCCCCCTATTATTTAATCTCTACGCCGAACCTATAATTAGAGCTTCTCTTGAAGATCGCCCTGAAGGTACCAGAGTCAATGGATTCATTATCAACAATATAAGATATGCTTAGTACTAGCACACCGTAGTATTAGCAGAAACAGAAGACCAACTAAAAATATTGATGAACATATCAGAAGAAAGTCACAGGGTGGGCTTGGACATTAACTTTTCCAAAACCAAAATTCTGGTATTCCACAAAAACCCCCATGAACAAGTTACACCTAACATACAAATAAATGGTATCACCCTTCAGAGTTCCCAAAGCTTCATATACCTGGGCAGAGAGCTAAATAGTCAACTAGACTGCTCAAAAGAAATTAGAAGACGCATTGAAATAGCAAGGTAAAGTTTCATGAATATGCGTAAAATGCTCTGTAACTCCAAGCTATCAGTCTCCATAAGATTGAGAACACTAAAGTGTTATGTGTGGTCTCTATTACTATACGACTCTGAGATCTGGACATTAAAACAGTATGACGTCAACAAATTAAATTCATTTAAAATGTGGATATACCGCCGAATGTTAAGAATAAGCGGGACCAGCAGAACTACGAATGAAGAAGTACTGAGAGTAATGAACACACGCCCTCATCTGGTCAATACTATCAAAATTATAAAGACGTAATATCTAGGACACATAATGCGCCATAGTGAATTTGAACAGCTCCAGGTAATATTACAAGGCAAGATTGAAGGTAAAAGGGACGTAAGACGAAAGGAAAAATCTTGGCTACGAAACATCAGAGATTGGACCCACACAAGAGGAAATGAATTAATTCAGCAAGCCCAGAACAGAGGGAAATTTGTCATATTGATCGCCAACCTCAACAGAGAAGACACTTAGGAGGAGGAGGAGCATTAAACAAACAATATGTAATGAATTTCTAATTTGTGGAGTGCAAATGATAGTTTAGGTATTGGTACTACTGTTTACAGGGTTACGATATGTACTTTTGTTAATACCACAAATCTTTGTGTAACATAAACAAATTAAATGTTAAATAGCAATCAGTTTTTGTATTTCTGTCTACAAAATGCCTATCTAATCACATATATTCAATTTTATAATCCCTAGCGTTTTGGGTGAAACGAAAACGTTTTTGGCGGAGAACCATGAACTGTGTATGGTGGTAAATTCCCTTTAAACAGAGTAATGAAAATGCCCCTACATCCTAAGTATTTTCTTAATAAGTCTATCATTTCATGTAGACCGCAACTGAAATACGATAAACTTAATCATCAACAATATTTTTATCATTCATTTATTGAACAAATGAAATTAAAATCAATTTTGGTCTTTTTTAGCCATTAATAACTTACATTTTCAGTATATCATGTAATCCCTATTATTCCGATAATACGACAATACTGTGCGAAAAGCCAACGTTATATATTGCGTGCAACGAATATAGTGGGAAAATCAAAAGCAATCATTTTTTAATGCAATAAAACTTATTAAACATAAAATAAAAAATCTTTTGAAAAATATTTCCGTTTGTTAAATCATACCTCAGCAAATTAAAACAGAATTTCTTATTGTATGTTTATAAAGAAGGAATATAAAAGTGTAAAAAATAAAAGAGACAAAAAAGAAAAGTAAATAAAAATATAAAAAATGATTTAAATGTTAAAAGAGAATAATATATCAATTCGTTTCGTATAAGCAGAGCTAATTGCATAAAAATATTGCCTTAAATAAAAAAGGGAACTGGATGCATCGCTAAACAATATTGTTACGGCAACATTTATCCCCGATCAGAAACACCCTTTATAAAAAACATAAGTGATTTAAAGGTAACAACGAAGGAAATGTATATTGTGACGCAACAACTCAGAGGTTACAATTTCCATTTCTCAGGTTTCAAGGTATACTTTATAAAATGATGTAGAGGGCAAAACACTACTACTATGATACTTAGCCCTTTAAACACACCCCTTCTGGGGGAAAACAGTCGTATTTTACACACTAAAGACATCTCAAAACATATTTCCATACGTACGAATCTTAAAACGACATAATGACAGAGAAAATAAAATGTGTAAAATAACAACTAAAGCATACTTTGCAAGTACGGAAAAATGTTTATCTTTCTTACAATAAGTGTCTTCTACCCTTAAGTCTAGAAACTAAATTGCAAATTTTGAGAGCCGGGCCTAGTTTCAGGCCCATGTATTTCATCATCATATCCGAGTTTAGGAGCAAAAAGGCCTTGCCGTCAATTTCCTAGAAAAATAATTACAAACTTTTATTATAATGTATTCTTTTTATCAGTTTATTTTATGAAGGTTAATACACACAACATTTAGTAAATTTTATATCTTTTTTTATTTATTTTTTCAGTTTCCTTTATGAGAATTAAACTAAATGGATTATCACGTATACTGAGAAGCTATACTACAACAATTTTCAATTGAAGGTGATTCATTGGCAACATCGCTCTTAAAGCAACCAACGGATATTCCCCTTATCAACTTTGCAGAGGCGTACCAAAATAATATTTTAATTATTTATTATTTATTTAAACTCATAAGTAATTACGTAAAAATATTAAATCTAAGACCGATATAATTATTAAACTATCATGTGTGCTTTGACGGGTATATAGTTGTCTACCAAAATAAAGTAAAATTTTATTGTTATAATAGAGTGCTTAATATACTTAAAAAAACAGAAATCTTTACAAAATAATTATTATATTCCATTTATATAGAAAGAGGACTACAAAACAAAAAAATAATTTCCTAAGAGGAATTCCCAGTTACACTTAAGTATATTATTATTTTGTCGAAAACAGAGACTATCATACCGTCTAATCTCCACATTTTCTCTTCTTCCTTGATCACATGGGCTACGGAATTAGCCTAATCTTCTTTCCGTATCCATTCCATTGCGAGTTCTAACAAACGTTGGACATCAGAAATGTTATATCACGTTTTCACGAGTTACGCAACCCTTTACTTGAGCCCAGATTAATTCTATCGAGCTTAACTCTCAATATTAAGGAAGAAGTTTCAAAATATTGATACGATGCTGTCTCATCATCATCATTATGCAACCTCTTCTGTCCACTGCTGGACATGGGTCTCTCCCATTTTTCGCCATTCTTCACGGTTCTATGCTTCTTGTTGCCATTTCTTGGATATTCGTCTAATGTCGTCCATCCAGCGTGTTGGTGGTCGTCCTCTGCTGCGTTTGTCTTCTCGTGGCCGCCAATCAATTAGTTTTCTGGTCCATCTTGTGTCTTTCAGTATCGCTATGTGATCTGCCCAATTCCATTTCAGCTTGGCTATACGTTCGACGACATCACTGATACCTGTTCTTTTCCTTAAGTTTTGATTCCTTATTTTGTCTTTTTTTGTCACGCCGAGAATTGATTTTTCCATGCGCCTTTGTACCACTCGCATTTTTAGTGCTGTTGGTTTTGTGACCGTGAGAGTTTCTGCTCCGTATGTCATAATAGGAAGAACGCATTGGTCAAATATCTTCCGTTTCATAGCTATCGGAATGTTGCTCTTAAAGATGTCTCTTAGTGAACCATACACCGCTCAAGGAAGTGCTATTCGTCGTTGAAATTCGCAGGTCTGGTTGTCCTTGCCTATTTTGATTTTATGACCAACATATGCTGTCTAGTGACCTTAAAAGCTCAACCTTAACCATGCCCTCGGAAACTGGGATTACTTTTTGTCCTAACCAACTCTGCATGTCTGCTTTTCTGATGGTCATATTTGGCAGATGTTCTACTAATCGGCTGTGATGGGAAGCGTTATTCATTACCGAATCATTACCGAATTGGGCTCTACTCATAAAAGAAGGGATTCAAACCATTTTGAAAACGTTGGGCGCCCATGTTTTCGTTCTTCGTGATAATCCTCCGTTTTTTTGGATAAAAAAAATTAGTGCACTATCGTCTAACAAGCCACTCTCACTACCTATATGGGCGACAATCAATCATTGTCCTTTACCCGTTGGTCCTCATAACCCTGTTGATAAACCGTCGACAAATAAATGCTTGACGATAACTCGTTACAGTAGTATCTTGCCAGATCTTAGATACTGTGTGACCAGCATTCACCCACGTGAATGTATTCGTTAAGATAATAAAACTTTTTGTGGCCAGAACGAAAGAACCTCTCTAATAGAGCGAAGATATCTTCGTCGCCATGAGACTAAATCTTCTCGTTCTATTAAGACACATTTACGGGACCCTTTGGAATATATCAATTTTAAATCTTCTTTTACCTTATCCTTAACGTGTTCTTTGCTCATTTTTGAAATGAGATTATTCTCCATTACCTTTGTACTATTGGATTCGAGGGTTAGGGACTCAAAAAAGAAAGAATGAATAGTAGTGAAATTTTTCTGGTACTCGTCCGATTCAATTTTTTTCTACCATGACAATGCACTTTTGGAGCTTGCACAATCCCAGTCAACTTTTTTTCACGTATAATGCGTTCAATTGTCGACACGGATACACCCGTTAAAAATGAACACTAAGCTACAGTTTTCACTGTACGAAGTGTATTTTTTAAATTTTCATACACTACAGATAATCTGCTCTTCTTCTACCAACTTAACTTCCGCTTTCTATTTACATTACACGGTGCCGCTACGGCATCCACCTTAATGCTATAAAAAGAATAAACATCAATTATATTATTCTGCCATTTGTCTGTTGTTTACTTACCTCAAAATTTCTCTCATTCCCACTCTTTCCAAGAACGTAAATATATAGACCAGCTGAACAAAGCTGTTCAACTATTCGATTGTAAATCGCACCGGTGTCCAAAAGGTATACTGTTACAGGGACAAATTTTATGGAATCATCTTACTATTCAGTTATCCACATTGGCAAAGCATACACAATAAAAATGACCCAAATAAGTGCCGGTAAGAATTTATTTCTGACATTTAACATAGTTGCCGTTAGCTCTCAGTTCAATTTGTAGATGAGTCACCTTCAATTGAAAATTGTTATAGTATAGACCGAGCCTGTAAAGAAGATAAAGAAATTCGCAAAACCTATTAAACCATAAAATTCTCCGAACTCATTATTTACGAATCAACGAATCTTGGCGCAATGATTTTCTTGAGAACTGTATGAACTTTTGTAGTGTACTAAAGAGTTTTAGAGTAACCTTAATCTTAGTGTCACACAGGCCTCCTTACAGTGAAGCGGATTTCTTAATAACGATGGAAAAATATCAAAAGTCTGTTCATATTGTTACATTGCTGGCAAACGGAACAAGTCAAAGGGATGTGGCAAGACAATTGAATGTTAGTCGTTCAACTGTGTAGAGAACTTACCAACGACTTCTTGAGACTAGATCTCATCAATGGCGACAAAGACAGTCAAAAGCCAGAGAAGATCGGCGTCGTTCTCACTATTGTTGCATTGGGAGAACGGACGCAAATTAGAGTCCAAAACCATCATCAGCCATCTCAAGGACCAACAATCAGCGTTACCACTATTCGACAAAGGTTAAGACAACAGAGTTTGACAGCTTGCAGTTCAGCAACAGGGCAATTACTTACTGCTGCTCATAAAAGACCTAGACTTGCATTTGCCCATGAACACGTAAATTAAACAATGGACAATTCGAAAAAGTATTGTCTACGGATGAGTGTAGAATATCAATTTATGGTAAATACGGTTGAAATAATGTCTATAGAAGAGCTGAAGAACATTATGATGTCTGCACTCAGTCATACCGAGTTGCTTCTAGTGGTAGCTCAGTAATGTTTTGGACAGACATTTCTTTTGATGCATCACGGTTATGTATCTGTGTGTCAGGCTAGGCACACACAGATATAATTTGGACATTTATTCGAGGACCCACAAAGGTTTGTTAGGTGGAGGACACAAAATCACAATGAACAACACAAGCTACGTAGCAAAACAGAGCGACGTACCTTGAGCACTGTCCAAAAGATAGAAGGGTGTGCGTGCTTTCATTTGGCACCGTTCGCCTTGGAAGGACGGCAACGATTACGACAGTCGTCCATGCAGTGGCAGTGATCGAACGCCACACGACATCGTAGTCGTGTAGTTTGACGATCGATGCGTATGCACGCTCACAATGTTTCTTCGCGCAACCAAAGGAATTTGTTCGATCGAACTTATCGACCGTCCAAGTTCGATGTGTGTGCGCCAAGCGTCACAGCACACACATACATAACGGAAACCCTGTAACATCATGTGATATCATATGCTGGGTATATTGGCAATGATTTTCTGCTAATGTAAGATATTGCGAGACTATACACGGCAAGTTAAAGAATTACAACGCTGAAATGGAACCAGGTAAGTCATGTTGCCAGAGTTAAAGATTTAGAATGGATCGAGACAATTTTAGAATGGAGACCTAGACACGATGCTTAGCGTAATTGAGGACGTCCTCCAACAAAGCTGAATTTAATCGAAATACAATATTTCAACCTTGTAATATCTTAATATTTATATTCACTTGTCATTGTTCCTAGTAAACAATTGAACCTTCCCTATGGTATTTGGCTTTTCTATGTTGCTATTCTCCAAATCACGATAGTTTGAGTTATGACACTGTTGAAGCGGTGGTGCTATCCCAGTAAAGATTCAACTAGAATTTGACAGGTACTTGACATCAAATTCAATATATTCAAATTATTTAAGTCGATGTTTATTACATTACATATTATATTAATGATGAACTAAAGGAGCTTTGTGAAACAATAATCAACTTACATGTTTTCGAAACAAGTCTGCATGTACTCCCAAGCAAGGATCCACTGATTCTATGAACTGGATCACCTCCTCGATACCCCACTCTCCAGTGGGAATTTTGTTCAAGCTCAAAACTGGCGACTCCGAAGAAATCGACGGTTCAGCTGGAGTGGTAGATGTGGCCGCTTCTTGTTCAGGCGGCTTGCGTTTCTGTGGTGTCGGAGCACTTTTTACATCACATGAGAGACAGTCTTTCACGGTTCGTTCTAAACCTAGACAAAAGTTTTGGGTTATATGTACTCCAAGCACGCTACTTTGAATTTTAAAATTGTAATAGTAATGTTGGTACTTACTAAATACATTCTGACAACATCCTAGCGCCTGCGCTAATGTCTGAAAAACTCCATTCAAATCACTTGCCTTCACCAATTGCGGCAGTTTGATTGTATACGTGCTCCCTTCATGAGTTATGACCATCTCCTCACCTCTAAGCGCGCCCAATCTAGCTAAAATGGTCTCTGACTTATGGGAGGCGTTGAGCACTTGGTTGACCAGCTTTTTGGCCAGATCTGACGGTGTGGCATCCTCTATACTTAATGCGAGTTGAGTGGTATCGATCAATGGACCTCCAGAACAGCTTTTACGGAAGTTGATGACGATTGGCGGAGGTGGAGGGGCTGATGTGTCCGCTTCAGGGGATTGAACTTCCGCAGCTGTTGAACTAACTGATGAAGTAGGTGGAGGAGCTGTGAAAGCTGGTCTGATTCTAAATCTAAGATTACAGAAAAATATTAATTCTCATAAATGGCCCTCGAATATTCACTAACACAAGATATTTCATTTTATCCTAAACTCCAATTCTCTATGCAAGTTTGTGATTTTTTTTTTAATTTTGTTGTAATTTTGGTTTTGTTTTGCATATTACAATAAATTTAGCAACACAAAAAAGTAAAGTTTATAATTGTTTCAATTGCATTGAAAGTGGTTCTATTTACATGGATTTACATACTTCGTAAATCAAAATCGAAGAGTCTTCCTAAGGGTAGGTATATATTTGGTTACGATGGGTATATGTATAAAGATGAGGTCAATACAGAATACGGTAATTTAAGTATATTAAATAAATACTACAGTTATGGTTTTGCATAAAGAAGTTGTCAAACAGCAATTCGAAGAAGAAATAAAATCAAATAGAAAAAGTTTGTGGGACGAGAATAACGGAAAAACAGTCGCTTATTTAAAACAAAGTCAAAATATCAACCAAATTTTAGTCAGATCCTCTAAATGTCAATAACTTTTTCTTTTTTTTTTAATAACAATATATATACAACTTGATTATTTTGGAAATGGGAAAAATATATATTTACCTGTTTGTTCCACTACTGTTCTTCTGCCCAGGCGGCTGCATCGGGTGCCCGGATCTAGCACACCACCCCACAGGGAATATATCTCTGCTGTCATACCTACACCAGTAGTCAAAGGCTCCTCTCCACCCATCGAAAGTAACATGGATTTGATCGTTCTTGACAGCCCCAACTGTGGCACAGCAAATCAACTGAGGGTTCTTCTTATCAACAGCTTCTAATTTCTGACCGACTTGGAACAGGTTTTGTCGCGGACCCAAAGGCTCCTTCTGGAATATACTTTCGGGTGCCATCTTCGCATCCTTCAAGATTTTGAGTAGAAACATCGGCCACGAGCTGGCATTCATTCTGAATCCTAGAGAAAAAAATAGTTTTAATTAGACACGAGGGAATTTCTCCAAACTCTATATTAATTAATTAAATGAAGTTGATGATATATTCAAATATATCATTTATCAATTCATGTCTTAATGTGACATACTTAATTTTGAGCGTAGGAACTCCTCTGCATATGTTTGTGTTATGGGTTATTATAAAGGATGTTCCGTAATGGAATTTAGTTTTTGAATAAATGAAACTCCGTTACCCTACATGCGGATTTTAATGTTTAAATAAAATGTCTTTTAAATGTTGACCGTCTTGTTCCTGGCACTGCTAGCTTTTAAGCTAGCAAAAACTCCTTCACACATATTCACAAGAATGTTCCCAATAGTGTCTCGAATACGTTGTTTTAACTGTGCTGTGGTTGCTAGGGGGTCAGTATATACCACACTCTTTAGGTACCCCCACAAAAAAAGTCCAGCGGAGTTAAATCAGGCGATCGTGGCGGAAAGGGGATATCACCGCTTAATGCGATGACGGTGCCTGGAAACAATTCCCTAACCGCGTTCATCGAAAGAATGGCTGTATGTGGTGTGACACCATCTTGCAACCAGGTCGTCTTTATTATAACCCATACATTTGGATCTTCAAAGAAATACGGCCCAATTATTCCGTGTGCAGACATGCCACACCACACGGTCACTTTTTTAGAATGGAGTTGCTTCTGGTGTAATTGTCGTGGATTCTCATCAGCCCAGTATCGCGAATCTTGCTTATTGACGTTTTTATCTAAAAGGAAGTGTGCTTCGTCACTGAAAATAATGTTCCCCACCCCTCCATCATCCCAAAACTGGTTCATTATGATTTCGCAGAAGATGCGCCTCTTTTCGTAGTCTGTCGGCTTTAAAAGTTGGGTTATCTGAATTTTATAAGGATGAAAGTGAAGATCTTGGTGTAAAATACGATGCGAACTATTGCGGGATAGATTTATTTCCTGTGCATGTTTCCGAAGTGGTTTTCTAGGATTTTGATTTACAGCTCGTTAGACTCTGTGAATCAGAGGGCTTCCCATTTGTCGCAGAACCAGTTTCCTAGGAAATTCACCCACAATTTTACTAAGGGAGCTGATGGTGCATCAGCTATGAGGCGAATGTTATAGTTATGTTATAGTCGACGAGCTATGGTGAATAAATAATTGCCTTTAAAGTATACCTCCAGCATATAAGCGCGTTGTTCACATGACCACTGCGCCATGGCTACTGACAATGCTCTACAAATCTGCACGATTCTACGTGACGAAGGTAGTGGTACGACTTTATACAATTGTACAGCTGTACTGTATGACTTGACATCAACACATGTAAGACCAAATTTATGATAGTATCAAGGAGTCCAATAAATAATGAATAACTAAGCCTTGGTGGACAGCAAATAGAGAAAGTGTCAAAATATAAATATCTGGGAGCTTACAACAACACAGAATTAGATCCAGACCCAGAGATCAGAGTACAAATAGAAATGGCAAGGGCAGTGTTATTAAAATTCAAGCAATTGTTCTGTGACAAAAATATGAATACTGCGCTGAGACTGAGGTTTGTTGAATGTTACGTCTGGTCCCAACTACTGTACGGGGTAGAAACATGGACGTTAAAAGCGCAAATAGTTAAGAAGCTTGAAGCCTTTGAACCTTGGATATACCGGACAATGTTGAGAATTCCATGGACTGCCAGGGTCACCAATGAGAAAGTGCTGAGAAGGATGGGTCGAGACAAAAAATTGTGGAGAACAATAAAAGTACGCAAGACTTCATACCTTCGACACAGAGAAACTTTCAGAAATGTGGTCGCCAACCTCCGTTAATGGGGACGGCATAGGAAGAAGAAGATCTGCATATCCGACCACTTGTACAGATGTATTAAAGATGGTGCTATTCGTATTAATATGGCACTCTCGAATTACTTTTTCTAGTGCAAGGTTAAATAAAGGACATGACAGTCCATCTCCCTGTCTCAATCCATTTTTACAATGGAAGGGTCTTAAAAAGTCGTTTTGGATTCTGACTACAATCTACGCCTTTGAGTGTAAGTTCCGTTAGTTGAACAAGATGAAGCGGCATTTGAAATTCCACCATAGCCTGTAGAAGTTTTTGTCTGTTGACTGAGTCGTATGCGGCTTTGAAATTCACGAATATGTGGTGGGTGTCGACTCCAAACCCACGCGTTTTCTCAAGAATCTGCCTGACTGTGAAGATTTGATCCGTTGTTGATTTATTGGGTCGGAAAACGCACTGGTAGTTCCCAACTATTTGTTCAGCATAGGAGATCAATTTTCTGTACAATACGTTAGACAATACTTTATATGCCACGTTATGTAGGGTGATTGCAAAACTTAAATGGAACTTCGCCGGTCACACTCTCCGGCAAAAAGATGGAATAAGCGAATTCTACACTGGAGACCATGGAAAAAGAAAAGAAAAAGAGGAAGACCACAGATGAGATGGACTGACGACCTTAAGAGAACGGCAGGAAAGGACTGGATGCAGATCGCCCAAAATAGAGACCAATGGAGATTAACAGGGGGAGCCTATGCCCAAGAGTGGGCGTTTAAGGCTGATTAGGTAGATAGATAGAAGTAGGGTGATGCCTCTATATTTCAAATCCATAAAATAAAAATGAACCACCGCTTAAAGATGATACACCACAAATTGAAGGAATAATCCGAAGTAAATTGTACCTAATTATTTGTACCCAACCGAAAGAATATTTACACAGCTACACTTGGACGGTGTTAGACAACCTACCCCTTCCAGCGCATAAAGAAGACCAAAATATGTGCTACGAATATACCAGTGTTGAAACAGTAACATAAAATGCGACTTTTTTTGGAGACAAGGTAACTATAAGTTAGTCTGCTGTACCCTATAAGCAAACGAGCCATTTTAACGAATAACTGATGATCAATATTTATCTCACACCATGAATTTGCTGTTCACTCTTAACAGGTGACTTATGACTTATCAGGTTCACTCAACTTGAAAGAAATGCAACTACTGCTTTCTACATTAACCTTTATTGTCTTATTGTCTATTAAAATATTGTGTGCATAAACAGTGGTAATTATAAATTATATTATATATCACTATCACTAAATTTATTTTACAGGATATAGTAGATAACTATTGTATAAAAGAAAGTTTTTTTTGAAGAATCGGTCGGTAGATAAAATGACAAAATAAAAACACTTACCCAAGGGAGGTTGTAGCATTCCACCATTCTTTTCACAATGACCTATTGCATGTATTTCGCCAGAATCAACCAACCTCCAAAAGTCATTTTTGTTATCACTACCATCCAATCTCAATCGAAGTCTGGGACCTAATATACTAATGACTGTAGCAATGCACGTAGATGTAACGTTTCTGGGATCTAGAGCTTCTAATTTCATGCTCACTTCAAAGTCATTATACGGAGGACTGGGGGCTTGCTTAAAGCAGCTCTGAGGAGCTGCAATGCTGTTGGTTTCTCTTAGGTATTCATCCCAGTTAAATGCTTGATATGTTTCATACTAAAAAGCATTAAATATATAAAATTAGTGTAAAGCTCTACCCATATCTCATTTAGAAGAAACTGATAAATGCATTAGTTTAGTTCAGGAGTAGCTAAATTTTCTTGACAATGTGAAATAATACAAAATACATGCAGGTATAAATTTGGGGTTTATGCGTGGAATTTTTGTAATTAAATCTGGAATGTTAAGGTCAATTTTTGTTACAGTTAATCCAATTAAATTTTTCAAATGAATATTGATTAATTTTGAACGATATTATGGTTTAATAACATTTATAATTGAAAACCTTGAAATGTATTTTCAAAATTCAATATAATTTGAATTGTTTAAATTCTTTGTTTATTTTTTCAATAAAATATTACCTTGCAAATCTATTATTTTCATTTGGAATTCCGACGGATAATTTTCGACGTCTTGAAAGTAGAATGCAAAAAGAAGGTTGAAGACTTAAAATTAAATTTTTAAACTTAACGTAATTTGGAACATTATTTAATTTGATGGCTAATTCCATAATGAATCTTAAATGAGTCGGTTTCTACAGTAAACTCTAAATAAAAAAGTGATTTTGTTTTTTAATGAGCTAACACGGTTTACTAAGGTTGGCAAAATACAATATTTTCCTAGTAATGTTAAATTTTGGTGATGTTGTGTCTCCCTGCCACAATATCACCAAAATTGTTCAATCAGGCTATGAAAGACATATTTAAAAAATTAGAATGGGATACATACGGAATAAGAATAAATGGAGAGCTCTTGAACCACTTGAGATATGCAGACGATATAGTCCTGATAACAGATAAGAAGGAAGAGTTACAGAAGATGGTTGAGGAACTAGATAGAAAAGCGACAGAGGTAGGTCTAGAGATGAACTATAGTAAAACCAAGACTATGACAAACCAAGAAGACCAATTAGAAATAGTAGTCAAACAGAATAAATTAGAGCAGGTGGCAGAATACATATGCCTAGGACAGATAATAAAGCTGAACAGGGACAATCAAACAGAAGAAATAAAAAGAAGAACTAGACTAGCATGGGCCTCATTTGGTAAACTATCATATATTCTAAAAAAATAAAAAGTTCCCTCAATATATGCGAACGAAAGTATTCAATCAGTGCATTTTACCAGTTATCACATATGGCTCACAAACATGGACTTTCACAAAGGAGAACATCGACAGGATATCCAAAACACAACGAGCAATGAAAAGACAGATGCTGGGTATCGGTCTTAAAGACAGGAAAAGAAACTCATGGATCAGAGAAAAAACAAAGGTGAACGATGTATCAAGACAGGTTGCAAAACTTAAATGGGACTTCGCCGGTCACACTCCGGCAAAAATATGAAAGATGGAATAAGCGAATTCTACACTGGAGACCATGGGAGAAGAAAAGAAAAAGAGGAAAACCACAGATGAGATGGACTGACGACCTTAAGAGAACGGCAGGAAAGGACTGGATGCAGATCGTTCAAAATAGAGACCAATGGAGATTAACAGGGGAGGCCTATGCCCAAGAGTGGGCGTCTAAGGCTGATTAGATAGATAGATAGAATGTTAAATTTGATATGTTTGATAAATGTCCCATTATGGACGTAAGAAAAGCTAAAATTCTTTATCCAGTCTTTGTTTTTCAACAGAAAGTACCCGTTTGTCAATTCATCGTTCCCCTTCAAAAATTGCAAAACACTCTTTCAAATTCCAAAATCTTGCCAGTATACCCCCTTTGGGCAGCCATCGAACGCTGCAACATACAGGCTCAACCACCGAGAATAAATCCAGCTACTTGGCACCTAATGATTCTTGGTCGATTATACAACGCATCTAATTTGAATACTTTCCTTTCTAAGATTTCAAGTAGCGTTGTAAGTCCTGTAATCAGACGAACCATGGAAGTACAAACTATATAAAACTTTTATTTAAAAATCCTTTACAAAAAATATATAATTAAAAGACCCTTTCGGGCTACATCTAAACAGTAAGTCTTCGGACTAACAAGTCCATCTGGTACAACTGGGAAATAAACTGATGATGGACTTATTATACTAATAATATATTAATACTAATATGACTATTACTCATAAAACGTTCTGTTGTGATGTAGTCTGAAAGGGCATTTGAATTATATACCTTTTATAAAGGATTTTTAAATAAAACTTTTGTGACTTATGGTATACAGCCAACTACACAAATTTTATTTTCCTTGTGGATTACAAACTATATAGCAAATCCATACAAACTGACTCCAAATTCGACCAATCGATTTTGCTACCTTAAATAACATTTTACACTTGTTCTAAGATATTCTGTCCTGTTGTGGAGACCAGTTGGCGTAAATCTAATAGCTGCTTCACAAAACTGAAAATATCCACCACGCTGACTACAAATATGCTCAACTGCGAATTATCTGCGACGTCACAGTTTTCATCCACTTCCACTGAAAATGATCTGCAGTGTCTTGGTCAAGCAATTGTTTGCTCCCTTGCTTTAACAAGGGTTCAGCACATGTTTTATGTTTGATTTCCCACCTTTTGAGCAAATATTAGTAAACTATTGTTAATTATCTATTCTTCGTTGGAATGTGGCTTTTTCTAGCGTGCTAATAATAGCGAGAGTTCATTGTTGAAAACGTTTTCACCATTGTTTCTATTTCATCACGTCTTTTTTCGACCAAAGATTGTTATCCAGCTAAAGATTTTTTCTTGGCGACGAATTTGCTTCGTAGGCATGATTCGACAGGATAATTGTTGGTGAAATGACCATGAACTTTGCTTGTAATGGCGCTCCACATTAATTTTTTTTGGCATTGCCCAAATTTCAAATATCAAACAGCAAGGTTTGGAGGTATTGATACATAAAAATTGTTCATCACTCAGTTTTCAATTCACGAATAGCGATATCGCCCTCATATTTAAGTTTTGAAATTGATGACTTACTCGTGGCCATTTTGAAAATTAATTTAAAAGGAAAAAACTTTAAAACCACTATATCTCACACAACAAAATCGAAAACAGACTTGAAGCATCTCGCTTCAAATTTGAAAATCAACTGATTCAACCGATCATATATCGTATAACACATTCCTCGTAATTAAATGAAAATGGCATCGACAAAACGATGACATGTGTCTGTAACTAATGTGTTCGGGCAAAATTGAAGCTGCTGCTTTACAGCGCGAGACAGTAGTGTACTATTAAGATGCATTTTTAATGAGTTTGATGAAAAAATTGCATTTTTTTTTATTTGTCCAACATGGTTGACAAAATCTGTAAATCACTTTTCTAACAAAAATGCAATCACACATCTTCGTTGCTTTATTTTTTTAAATCCTTATTATCTAATAGCTCTTTTGTGTAGAGTTTTACAAGAGACTTTTTACATAAAAAGCTGACCAAAACCCACATATCAAAAACTAGCATTCACAGAAAGAAACTCTACAAAAGAAAACAGAACGCCGAAAACCTTGGATGACTCAAGCAATACTGGAAATCATGGAACAAAGAAGAAAATATAGAAACAAAAACCCAAATAAGCACCGAGAAAAACATAAATTAATAAGGAACAAAATAAAAGAGGCTAAGGAAAAGTGGATGATGGAAACATGCATCGAAGTGGAAGAATTGCAGAAAAAGCATGATCATTATAATTTACAAGTGCACAAATTGATAACAAGGAAGCTCCAATAATATTAAAATCTGACATGCTATAAACAACTCAAAATCTGGCAGAGCCCCTGGGCCAGATGAAGTTCATATCGAGCTGATTAAAATTATAGACGAAGACAATTTAAGTGCAATAACTATACTCTTTAACAACATATAAAAATCTGGTGAGATGCCTACAGGATGGCTAATATCGACCTTTGTTACGCTACCAAAAACCAAGCACCCCAAACACTGTAATGACTATAAATTAATCAGCTTAATGTCACGCAGAGAATATCATGGACAGCAAGGATCACGAACAAGGAAGTTCTAGGAAAAATGAAGAAGGAACCAGAGATTGTGTCTACGATCAAACGCATAAAATTGAAATATCTGGGACACGTTATGAGAAATCAGCACCGTTACTCCCTGCTACAGTCTATATTGCAAGGTAAAGTCAAAGGTAAGCGAGGACCCGGTAGAAGGAGAATATAAAGGAGATAGGAAAAAGCCAGCGAGCAAGGTAGAAGCTAGCCAGCAACCAGAAGAAGAATGTAACACTTATTACAAACATTTTTAAAGATTATACATGCAAGAATATTCAGAAAGTGCGAAGCGGATATGAGTAATAGACAGTTTGGCTTTCGTAACGGCTTCGGAACAGTGGAAGCTCTATATCACAACTCTTGCCCAAAAATGTCGAGACCATCAAAAAGATATTTTCGTTGGGTTTATAGACTGAGAAAGCTTTTGAAAAAGTTAAACATCACATTTTCATGGAATGTCTAAAGAGAAAAAAACTCGACAAAAATGACATTAACATAGTGAGAAATCTCTATTGGAACCAACAGGCTGTGGTAACATTAGATGGAAATAGCAAGGATGCGCAACAGATAAGTAGAGGAGTGAGACAGGGCTGTGTACTTTCACCATTACTATTTAATATATATATATATATATATATATATATATATATATATATATATATATATTCCGAAGAGTTATTTATGCAAGCACTTGAAAACTGTACAGAAAATGTCAAGATAAATGGTGAAAATATAAATAACATCCGTTATGCTGCGATAAAGTCATTATCGCTGAAACTGAGACAGACCTGCAGACGTTACTAACCACAAAAATTATGTTCAATTATTTGTGATACTGTTTGGTTTAACAATAAACACAAAGAAAACAAAAACCATGGTTATCACCTAGAGGGGCAAAGTCTTCAAATATTTTAATATATTAAGATACATGGGGTTTAATAAAAAAATCATAAATAAGCTTGTAATACTCACATAATTTTAGTTTTAATTTTATTTTGTGAAAAATTGCGAAAACTTTGAAAACTATTTA